AAATAATTTTGTGAAACATAACTGCGTTTTATATGTTTAAGTTGGAGCAGTTATGTTTCAGAAAATTATTTGACTGCCTTCCGGATCGAATTTTTAGCTGAAATTTTTTGTGGATAAACTAGACTTGATGAGGAACATTCCATAAAAATTTCATCAAAAAACTCCACCGGGAACCGCCCCAAACGGCGGCGGCCGGACGGAAGATCCTGTCCCTCCGGCTGGACAGGATCATTCCTCTATATATATATATATATATATATATATATATATATATATATATATATATCATCCTTCTCATTCTCACAAGAGCTTTCTGCCAAACATCACGCTTCCAAACCGAAGCACAGATAGTTGATGAGAAAAACTCTCCAATTCGTCTCTTCCAAGTAATTGGACACTGAGGAAACTTCTCCCATGTCGCAATCTAACTTGTGTGAGTTAAATTTTTCAAATTTGTTGGATAAAAGTTTAAACCTAAACCAGATTAGGTATTTGGACTCGTTCCATATTAGCGATGCAATTCATCTGGGGTTATTCGTAGTGCTTATGAGAGTAATAATCCCATCTTGTTGATTTTGCTTATTGGGTTAAGCTATGAGATTTTTCTTCTATCCATTAGTAATATCGAGGTAGCAATAAGGTTTTAATACAGAGAATTTTGTGCTTCTACCCATTCATTAATAAGCAATGGCTTAGTAACCCACCTTATTAAGCGCCGTTTATTAAACAACAAAGTATGTCCTTAGTGTAGTTACCTGATTTCTTGCAATGGTGCTATGTCACCATTGTACAAGCAGGACCGGGTTATTACATAGAAAACATCCACCCCGAAACGGTTAATTAAGGTGGCCTTGACCTTCTGGCGGAGATACTGCAGTATGACCGAACCATGATTTCAGGAAAGAAAGCTATGAAGCAAGTCGAGTCTGTAGGGTGGAGGCAACAACTAAACTTTTAGTCTTTCAGTACACTTAGTAGCCAATTTCTGTTTGTAGTACTAAATGATTTCTTCTTCTCTAATTAATTATTATAGTATTGAATGAGCTGAAATCCTTTGCTCAAATTAGAATATTTCTTCACAGTTGGGGTTCTCAACATAATTTTATTATCCTAATCTTTTTGTGTTTTTTTCAAGTGACCTACTAAGTTGGAGGGATTTTGTTATTTTTGTGCAGAATTGTTCTGAAGATCGTGTGCAACAGATGATAAAAGTAATTGTTAAAAGTCAAGATTGGGCCGGGACAATACTAGACAAGCACAAGATGATTGTCATTAGGAATCAATTGTTAATAAACGGTGAATACATACCTGATTTCTGGCAATGCTGCTATGTCACCAGAAAATCCATTAAATCCAGTGTTTTGGTTCTATTCAGAAAATGCTTGCACGTAGTAATCTATTCTAATAATATAAAAGAAACTTCTTACTTTTCATCCAATGGAAACAGTGCAGTTAAACCTTGCTACATGTTTGATGCATTGGCATAATATTGGAATCTTGCCTGTATAAAGAGGTTCTGCTAAAGTTACACACTTAGGAACTTTGCGACATGTTTGATGCATTGGCATAATATTGGAATCAAAGCAACTGTAACAGATATTACCCCAATAAGGTATGGAATGACACGTAAATTTGAGGTAAAGATGTTAAGCGACAAATGTAAGACAGTAAATGAAACAGATAAAACCTTTTGTCACAATCACCGACTGTAACCAAACTTGCAATGGCTACACATTCCATGCCCTGGGTTTCTGCAGGGGAAACAAGAGCCATTCAGTAAGCCTGTTCTGGACTCGAACATGTATTACAATTGAAAAGGAAGGGAATTTACCCCGTGTTGTTCACGGCAAGGTTGGAAGTCTTACTACATGCTCTATTTGCCAGATTTGTGGCACTGCGGGGAAAGGTTGCAAGTGCTGCCACAACACCGACCTGCAGGATTTTTTTGATGTTAAACAATTGAGAGGTCGAGAATTCCCTTCCAGACAACATATAATCTCATGCACATAATAAAAACTAAAACTCTATGCTGTATCGTGTATCACAATATCAATCTGCTACTACAGAAAAGAACCAAATTGAAATGACATTTTTCAAATAAAAACGGTGGTAGAATAGAGTGTGCGTTAGTTGACTAGAATAAAAGATGCTAGAGCATGCAGAATAAAAGTCCTATAAAATGAAGACGTGTGTATTAACACTAGTTTTTGTTTGAGTAAGTTTCTTGAGAACTTGAAACGAAATTTAAAGTGAATCCACCGTTGTGAACAACTTTACAGTATATGAAAACTCGCTGCAGTATGTAAGTGGAAGCCTAAGAGACACAAAGTTAGTCAAGATTCTGCAGGAGATGCTCTCATGCTCCCAAAGACCCAAAAATAGATTTCATATTCGAATAAAAAAACAAATAAAATTAAAATTGGGTGTTCAATAAATGAAAACTTCTCAGAGCAAAAAATCTAGCTATAAACATGCATGCATCAATCAAAGAATCAAGAAAGTATTTTTCATCATAGAATCGAAGTACAACACAAAGCTCTTGAATTGGATCGGACAGAGCATCTGAAAAATTAACAGGGTATTCAACAAAAGATTGGATTGCGAGAATTACCGCAGGAACAAGACTTGTGTCAGAGTGTGGACGTTGACTAGCTTCGATCGCCTTCAAAACCTCTGTCTGTCCGGGTTTTCTTTCTGAAAGGGAGGGATGGGGTTTTAATAATTTAAAGATTTCTGCAAGTTATTAATAATATTTTCATCAGAAGACAGAAGACCCTGTTTTTAGAATTCATGCATGGATAGATCAAGAAAGTAAAAAACGATGTACTTTTCATCATAAAATTGATCAAGAAAGTAAAAAACGATGTACTTTTCATCATAGAATTGATCGAGAAAGTAAAAAACGATGTACTTTTCATCATAAAATTGATCAAGAAAGTAAAAAACGATGTACTTTTCATCAAAAAATTGATCAAGAAAGTAAAAAACGATGTACTTTTCATCATAAAATTGATCAAGAAAATAAAAAAGCGATGTACTTTTCATCATAGAATTGATCAAGAAAGTAAAAAAACGATGTACTTTTCATCATAGAATTGATCAAGAAAGTAAAAACAGAAGAAGGCGCACTCTAGGATCGGACTAAAAATTAAGAGGGTATTCAAGAAAAGATTGGATTACGAAAACTACCGGCAGGAACAAGACGTGCGTCGACGTTGACGAGCTCCGATCACTTTCAAAACCAGATTTTCGATCTTGAACTCCGGCCGGCCACTCTGTCTGAAAGGAAGAAATGGGGTTTTAAAGATGAGGCAACGGTCAATTTCCAATATATAGATAGATAGCGGTGATCGAGTTGTAACAATCTGCGGATTGCCAACGGTCCGATTACAAACGGTCCGAAATCTTCTTCATTTGTCTATGGGTTTTAGATTCCTATAGCTGAGCGGGAGACCTGACCACGACTTGTAACAACCTGCGGATTGCCAACCTGGCAACACTTGTCCTTCAATTGATGTTACATAATAGACCAGACTAGGGATGGACCCAGGCCGGTCAGGTTCCGGGCCAGGCCCGGGCGGGCTTTTTTCCAGTTACATGGGTTGATACCGGGTCTGGGCCTAACCGGGCCGGGCTCGGTTCAACGTTTAATTTTTTTTGGCTTTCTTGTTATCCCTGACCCCCCTCACCCCCACCCCCACCCCCCAAACCTCCCCAAAACACCTAGCCCTACCCTAGGAAAAGAAAAAAAAATTGAAAAAACAAAAAAAAAATGAACCGGGCCCGGGCCGGTTCAACAAAAAGAGGGTCCGAGCCCGGCCCGCCCGACCCGCCCACACGGGCTAAAAGCCCGGAACCGGCCAACCGGTCCCGGTCTGGTCCGGGCCCGCACAGTAGCGGGCCGGTCCGGTTCACGGGCCGGTTCGGCCCGGCCCAGTCCACCCCTAGACTAGACCAGACAAGACTAGGGGGTGGACGCGGTTCGAATTGATCCGGATAGGGGGTGGACGCGGTTCGAATTGATAATTATTTATGAGCCGCCGTTTCCATTTATCGGGTAGGCTCGATCCGTGTATACCGAATCTTGAAATAGGAATTGAACCAAATCTATGCTAGCAAAGTTTCTTGTAAGGTGTAAAATTCTCAAACTAATTATGTATTAATATAACCATAATATAGTAAAAAATCAAAATAAAAATATAAAAATATTATTTTAAATTAGTTAATAAACTAATTGAAAATGATAATCATCATTCATAAACTAAAAAAATAGCACTATAAAGTTATAAGAAATTAAACTAGTTACTCAATACATTTGTCAATGAAAATAATTCAAAGTTTATTAAATCTCAAACTAGTTACTAATTAAATGAATATGCACATTTTATCGAGTAAGAATCTTTGTTTACAAAAGAATATTAAACAAAGAAAATTTGATGCATTTAGAATAAAAAATTGGGGAAAATATTTATGATTTTATATGAAACTTGAAAACTCTTTCTAATTAATTGACAAGTTTCTTTAATTAAGTGTCTTTGTCTAGAACAAGAAAATGAAGAGCTTTCCACAGTTATTAATATATTATATTAAATAAAACAGAGTTTTACTGAATTTCTTTAGTTCGGTTCGGTTTTGTTCTGTTTTTATCGATTTCGGTTCGGTTCGATTTAATACAATTTGGGAAAAATACTATCAAACTCAAATCAATTTCGCTTCGGTTTAGTTTGATTTGGTATGGTTTGGTTCGTTTAAACCAAACGGATGTGGCCGGCCATCCCTAATATGAACTATGTGTAAGAAGCTTCTTCATATAAAGTTATAAATTAATGGTTGTGTGTTACATGTGAGAATAATTGGGAGGCTTACCAAAGTGGTAGCTCTAGATGTCATATATATAATAAAAGGTGTTATGAGTACATTAGGAAACATAAGAAATATGGAAACCTAATTAAAGTATTAATTATTCTATTACACCCCCTCAAGCTGTGCAAAGGAAACAATGCGCAGATTGTCCCTATGAAATATAAAACGTTGTGGAGACAAACACTTAGTGAATATATCTGCAAGCTGAAATTGCGTTGGAACATAGCGAACAGAAAGATCGCCATGAGCAACTCTCTCACGAACAAAATGATAATCAATACTGATGTCTTTGCTGCGAGCATGTTGAATAGGATTTGTAGATAAATAAGAAGCCGACACATTATCACACAGAAGCTTGACTGGCTCTCGGATAGGGTATCCGAGTTCAAAAAGGATGGAACGGATGTGTAGACTGTAGAGTATCTTGAACCGCGTAGGCAATGGCCCGATATTCAGCTTCTGTGGAGGAGCGAAAGATAGTAGGCTGCTTTTTAGACTTCCAAGACTCTAAATTCGGCCCCAGAAAAATAGCAAAGCCGGAGGTGGATCTGGCGATCTGCTGCTATCAGGGCAACCTGCCCAGTCTGCATCAGAATAAGCCTGTAAAGTAGGAGAAGCTGAGCTCAACTAAAGGAGCAGGCCATGACCGATAGTCCCTTGAAGATACCTGAAAATACGCTTAACAGCCAAAAGATGAGATGTGCGAGGTGCATGCATGAATTGAGAAACCAGTTGAACATCAAATGTAATATCAGGTCTAGTCATGGTCAAATACTGCAAAGCACCTACCATACTCCTATACTCAGTAGGATCTGCCAGAAGCTCTCCATCAGTGTGAGAGAGTTTAGTTCGTGTAGGAAGAGGAGTACGAACAGGCTTGAGAGTATGAAGGTGAAACCTGCTAAAAAGATCAGATACATATTTTTGTTGTGATAAAAACAAACCAGAGGGTACTCGAACAGCCTGGACACCTAGGAAAAAGTGTAAATCCCCCAAATCCTTCATGGCAAAGCATCGGCCAAGACAAGAAATAAACGTAGAAATAAAGGATGGGGAATTATAAGTGACAATAATATCATCAACATAAAGTAAAAGATAAATAATGGACGACCCATGTCTGTAAATGAACAGAGAATTATCAGACTTGCTGCATACAAAACCATGTGTCAACAAAAAACTACTGAATCGATAAAACCAGGCTCTTGGAGCCTGTTTAAGACCATAAAGAGCCTTCCGGAGACGACATACATGATGTGGAATCTGTGGATGGATAAACCCGGAGGCTGACGCATATAAACCTCTTCAGTCAGATTGCCATGTAAAAAGGCGTTTTTAACATCTGACTGACGAATAGCCCATCGAAAGGAAATAGCAAGAGATAAGACAATACGAGCAGTAGTGGGCTTAACAACAGGACTAAATGTCTCGGAAAAATCTACACCTGCCTGTTGAGTAAACCCTTGAGCCACCAATCGTGCCTTGTGCCGCTCAACTGACCCGTCAGAATTATATTTAGTTTTATAAATCCATTTAGACCCAGCCACATTTTTATGAGTAAATGGAACTAAATCCCAAGTATGATTATCAATAAGTGCATTAAACTCCTCTGCCATAACACCTCGCCATTTAGAATCCTTATTAGCAATAGAAAAACACGAAGGATCACATGCCGAAATATCTGTTTTGAGATTAAAAATGGTTTTGGGTCTAAAATTCCATGTTTAGCACGTGTTTGCATGGGATGACAATTAACCGAGGAAGTCGGCGGTGAGGAAGGTGTGGCGCTTGAGTTGGACGTGAAGTTGGGTGAGGTCTGGGTTGTTGATGGACTGGATATGGTGGAGGAGTTATGTGGGGTGCTGGCAGATTGGGAAGTAAACGGGCTGGAGGATGCAGTGATCGGGGTGGCCGGGGTGTTCGGTGTAGGAGATGGGTGAAAAGTGGCCGGTGTGTGTGGTGTTGTCGAGGTGGCCTGGGACAGCAGGTGTTTATGAAGATGGGGCTGCGGTGAAGGAACCGATGGTGGTGGTGTCGTAGCATGAAGATGAACGAGATATTACCCAAAATAGGACTAAAAAGGTTTGAAAATTCCAATATAGGACTGCCATATTTTTATTCCCAAAATAGGATTAATTACTGTCATGTTGTGGTAGTATCAGACTTCAAACATGACAGTATTTCCCAAACTTGGCAGTAATTACTCCTATTTTGGGAATAAAAAACATGTCAGTCCTATTTTGGAATTTTCAAACTATTTTAGTCCTATTTCGGGAACTTTCCCTTTTTAAAAGTAAAAGTTGAATCATAATCAATTTTTTTAAAAAACTGATTTCCCTCTCTTTTAAAAAACTGTTTCTAAGAGCAATTTGTATCTCTTAGAAGTACTACTGCACAATGACCCAACTACTCAAATATCTCTTTCTGCGTAAATAGTTTCTAAAGCTTTTAGTTTTATGCATCTATGCAAGGGCGGATCCAGGAAGTTGGGTTGGACTGGACCGAAGACTATTTATTTACCGGGTTAGCTAAATATGAAAAATGAAACAATTCAAACTAAATAATTGGAAAATAATAAGTTACCCTGAAGTAGGCCTGAATTTTGGCCTACCTTAACCTATACATAGATCATCAAATATTCAATTCCACCACATTAAAAAAAAGTTCATAACTTTGAGCTTTCCCGGCGTTCAGACGGTGTGAAAGTCATAACTCGTAATGCATAGATACAAGAATTAAAGAAACTTGAAAAGATACAAACTTTAAAAGAAAATGAAAAGAATTAAAGTAAATGTATTGTACCAGTTGGGGAGATGAGTGCCTGAGAAACGGAGATGCCGCGACATGATTTGATTGGGTAAATGAAGATTGATGTTACCCTGGCAGCAGCAACCGCTCTTCTTCCTTCTCCTTCACTCATTCCCTCTCTCTTTGTATAGTGATTCAAATACAAGATGGCCAACATCTTGCCCCTTGCCCATCTATACAAGCTGGTTGCAATCCAACGTAGTGAAAAAGCCATTTTTGAGATATTCAAATACTTAGTACTCATTTGTACTCAGTTTTTCAAAAAAAAAAAAAAACTCCCCTATGTTTTGTCCCTTTTACATTTCTCGTCTGTGTCATTAAATTTGTCTCATATTTCCTTTGTCCTTTAAAATTTGTCAAGTTTAATCAGTACAAAGAATAAAAAAGTAAAAATTGTGTGGTTGAGGTTAGTGGCAGAACCAGGTCACAGATCATTGAGGGGCACATAATAGGAAAGGGAAGGTGCCTCTCGAGGTGGGCGGCTTGATGTGGTCCTGGAATTCCGGTCCCCGATAAGACGGGCGGTAGTAAGAGTAAGTGAAGAGGTTGCACATTTTGGGCCATTTTGATGTCCAGCACGCGCGACATAGCTTGACTTCAAGTTCATGATTAGTGGAGCTCGGGGTGTTCGTTAGTTCTGTTTCGTCGGTTTCAGTTTTATTTGTTTCAATTTTGGTAAAGGTGAAACCGTAACCGAACCACACTTTATTTGAATCGATTTCAGTTCGATTTTAGTTCGGTTAATTTCGGTCGGTTTTATCGGTTTTAGCATGTTTTGTTGGTTATTATCGGTCGGTTTTGATTCCATCGGTTTTTAAACCCAAAAGGTCAAACCGTAAATCGAATCACTAAGAGCATCTCCAATGCTAAAACGTTAACGGTGCATACGTGACATGAGAAATAACTAATTAAAAAACAATAAATACAATATCTATCTTCTTCTTTCCACGGTTTTATGTGTTTATGGTAAGTTTTTGTCTGCAATGTCAATCACAATGTCTACATCTAGACATTGTGCTTGACATTGTGAATAAAAACTTATCAAAATGATGTAAGATCCTTCAAATAAGGAGAGAGATAATGTATTTATTGTTTTTAAGGCTATGTTTGACACGCATTAATCAATTTGACCACGTTCAAATCATACATTGTGTCAAACATAGCCTTAAAAAATTCTATTTATATACATAATTTGTAGACACTTTCATGTGTACATAGACACCACGTTCAGAATAAATAGCAATTGTATGTGTACACGGGCAGGGGCGGATCTAGCTTTATCATTCAACGGGGCCAAACTTTAATTAAATAATGTATATTAAAGAAAAATTCAAAATGTAGTAAAGTAATACTACATATGTATTTAACAAAATTTATTTTCTAGTATAAATTGATATTTGTTGCAACATAAATGTCAAAAACAAAAGTAAATATTACAAGAATAATTTTTTTTGTCAAAGTAAAATAAAAAAACATCTCTAATTTACAACTATTCTTTAGGGGTCTTCATAGAGTGATATTGTCAAATTGGAAGTAAAAGTGAATATAAAAATTAGAATTATATAAAGACCTGAATCTGAAAAACAATGAAAATACAAAGAACAAAGTTATTAAAGGCTTAAGGCAAGCCACAATTGCCCTCTCTGAAATGGTTTAAACTACCAATTTATAGAAATACATAAGTTCTGAAACTTGGAAACAAGATATGGAATAATACACAGATACAACAATTGAGAGATTTGGCCATTATTTAATATTTTGAGCTTGGGAGACTAAAATTCCAAAATTCTGGGCACAACACGGCTGCCTTGTTACAATTCGGCTTTCAATTCCTTGTTATTAGAAAATATGAGTACAAAATAGTTATATAAATCAAGTTCATAAAGAAAATATGAATCGGTCAAAAGTGTATTTTATGTATAGTATGTATATTATGTATATCTTCAAGGCTCGTTAAGTATGAGTACTTTATTAACCATTTATATTCCCAATCAAAAGTGTATGTTATGTATTTTATGTATGTATATCATGTAAGGAAGAGTTCAAATAAAAAGTGGTATTCCCGTGCAAAGTGCGAAATTTCCACTTTTGCATGCTTCGTTTGTTTCCGTTACACTTTTCCATCATTGCGATTTTGGCCAAGATCGGCCAAAATGACGGTGACAGTTTTGTAAATAACCAAATTTTTTTGCTACCGTGAATAAGTGCAACGAAAACAAGAAAATGTGCAAGCGAAATACGAAAAAGTGCAAATTTCACACTTTGTACAGGAAGACCACTTTTTATTTGAACCATCCCCTATCATGTATATCCTCAAACTCGTTAAGTATGAGTAATTCTTGGAGTACACAGAATCTGTATGGTTTGTACACATACATTCACTGATTTTTTCTAAACGAGTTACCTTTATACACAGGCAATTAGAGAATGTACACAAAAATGTATCTTCTTGTTTAGAAAAAGTTTTTTTTAGCAGCTATGACAATTGCAGATCGCAGGTTATACAAATGTATAGTATTTGTCTATGTAATTCTGACACAAAAATAAGTGATAGATATAATTAAAAGAATGAGTATGAAATCACTCTCATAGTCTCATATTCTTCATGAATTAAACAACCCTTCATTATAGACATTTCCTAAATTATTCATTTCCTAAACATTTCCCTCACCCAATCCCGGTATCACTATAAGTTTTCAGAAACGTAGTTACCTATATAGCTATGAATTTTGGACTAAAAATGCAAGAAATAATTATTCTGATTTCTGGGGTCTACACTCTACAACAACAAAATCACTTCTTAGCTCACCAAATCCGATTCCTATTCAGAAGTTGAAGTAGCACTTCAGACTTGAAGGGGGTTCCTTTTCTTCCTTAGTTTAACTTTTTCTTCGTCTTGAACATTTTGAACTTGAACACATACGATCAGGGCAAAAAATGGCAGAAAGGAAACAATTCGATAAACAGTATCAGTTTATGTTTTCTCCCTTTTTGGTAGTTTACTTCTAGAACAGAATTTGGTCTTGATAAACCTCAAGTGTTTGAATGACCTTCTGTATGAACAATTTCTTGTCCAGCCTATACCTGTAATAAAGAAACAATTCTTAATATTTAGTTAGAAGTTGAATGGTTCAACCGATCAGATTAAGATTACAGATGAGATCCATGTGGTGGATATGGAAACTTTTTACTGACTTTATTGCTGCTTGAAGTGTCCTCTTGGGTTCAGTCAAAGAATCTGTTCATAATAAAGCCACATATCTCAAAAGGTTACAATCATAGGACATTACACAAAACTGTTCGAAAGAAATTAACCTTATTTAAAAAGAGAAGCATCACAACAACATCCAAGCCTTATTTACAAGAGTATGGGGCCGGCTAACATGAACCGACTGAATTGACATATGATATTGGAGTTGAAAAACAATAATTACAGAAATAGATAGACAAACAATATATAAGATCAATCCTCCAAAATCCAAATGCATGTTCTTCCTCCACTCTGCCCTCTCCAAAGTCACAATCTCATCTAACTTAAGAGAAGCAATGATGTTAAAAAATAAAAGGTTGGACTAAACTTAACAACCCCCAAGTTTTATCCTTTAACAATATCATCAAAGTGTTAAATAAAAGGTTGGACTAAACTTAATAACCCCCAAGTTTTATTGTTTAACAATATCATCAAAGTGTTAAATGTTAGCCCTCTCCATATTGCTCGTTCATGATATTAACTCAATCTAGCAGACAAGCAGCAATTTAACCCATCAAGCATCCACCACTCCACCATAATATCTTTAAAAAACAAAGTTTCACCTCTTCCCAAAGAACAGTTGTGGCTTTAAACTAGGATCAACTTTTTCATTAGTTAGATCATGTATTTCTATGCAGTATTTTATCTTTGCTTTATTTTGAACCAGCTCAATGTAGAAGTTATTTAACGACTTCAATTGGCCATGTTTGACTTCTGAGGTCAAAGATGTCAAACTTTGACCAATATTTCAATTGATGTGTTTTAGTAAAAAATATAATGTGTACTTTTGCAAGAGAACCCTTGCCAAATATGAACTTTACATTACTCTCACATTACAAATCATTTTTCATGAATATTATACGGAGTATATCATTTTGGCAAAAGATGAAAATCGGTTACCAAAACTATTAAAGCGGGGCAGGGACTGCTAGTTATTTGACCAAAACTAGTTACTATACCTAGGATTTTCTGGTCTTCATCAAGAGTTGTTGGGAATGATGCCAGCATCTGGCGGCATTCATCTCGCAATTCTTTCACAGCTTTCCTCTCGAGACTAGGAATTGGGGGCACATCTTTATTCGTCCACATGGGCAGTGTTCTTGCTGCTGCTATGACCGCTCCATCAACAAAGCTCTCTCCTCCCTTATTTGATGATAGCTCACCTGTTTCCATATCATACAACCACTCTTAAGTTTTAAATTGGGACCATTCACTCAAAAAAGATCTTGAAGAGAAGTAAGCTTTATCACACACTTATATGTAAGATATGAATTTGATAAACATCCCATTTGGACACTTAAAAGTTAGAACATCTCCCGAAGCCACACCCAGCCGAACAACTTGATGTGGACAAAAGGGCCAAACTGACTCCAAATAGACTACTGAAAACCATAAGTCCCAAAAAGACTAATAAACACACCCAACCGAGGCAAGCTCCGATACGTACCATATGAAATTCGGCATAACTCGCCCTAAACAGATTTTCTAGATGTCAGGCTTACCCCATAGTCCCATACCCCATACTGATACCCTAGATATAGATTTGGTAAACATAAATGGGACATGTAACACTAACAAAGAAAAAAGGGAAAACTATCAAATAAGCCCTCGTACTATGCCAAAAAAGTTGATTAGGCCCTCGTACTTTAGAAACACTCAATTAAGTCCTCAAACTATTAAAAAACGTTCAATTAAGCCCTTTTGGTCGGTAAGTAACCGGTTTCTCGGTTAAACGGCGACGACGGCGATGATGTGCTCGAACCCCAGCAACGGCGGCTGTCGGGAAACAGCTTACATTTACCCGGGAAACCGTTTACTTACCGACCAAAAGGGCTTAATTGAACGTTTTTTAATAGTTCGAGGACTTAATTGAGTGTTTGTAAAGTACGAAGGCCTAATCGACTTTTTCGGTATAGTATGGGGGCTTATTTGATAGTTTTCCCAAGAAAAAACGGTAACCAACTACAG